TTGTGTCAAAGGTGTATAAGACTCACTTTGTTGCACTTACGAACAAATCCGACTTATGAACTTTCTCCCAGAACAGAAGTCATTCGTAAGTCAGGAACTTAGTGTACTGAGTTGAGTAGAAATAGTCTCCAAATATGCTCACATGGAGGGCATTGTTGTGGGACCAAAGGGATATATTTATATACATAACTATAATATTTAAATTTACTTTATAATTAAAATTTATTTTTATTATTTCAGCTACTTATTTAGAAGAAAATGTCTAGCAATATGTTATCATTGTGCAATGAAGTACAATGTAATGCAGTTGTAAAAAAGGAATGAGGATGTTCTCTATTCATTAATATGGTAACATCACCAGAATATAAGGTGAAACAAGAAAAATGAAAAACAGTTATCATAGTATGCTCCTTTTGTTGTAGGAAAGATGAAAACTTTTATAATAGACACATACGATTATATACATATATATACAGAGGGTGCCAAAAAAAGTATACACATATAATACAGTAAAAAACTGTATTAAAATTGTAATAATATATACTGATAACAAAAGATGAATACAAGTCATGTGTATACATTTTTTGGCACCCCTGGTATATAACTATGTGTCCATTATAAAATATATGTACCTTTTTACCTTTTTTGATCAAACAATATGGTGAATATTTAAACAAAAACATTATTACAGTAAAAGACACATTGCCATTAATCCCCCTCAAAACACTCCCTCTCGCATCGAACACACTTATCCCATCATTCTTGCCACTTTATGAAGCAGTTCTGGAAGTCCTCTTTCATGAGTCTTTATTTGTGCTATTGTGGCTGCCTCGATGTCCTGAATCATTTTGATGTTGGGGAAGAGGCAGAAGTTGCATGGTGCCAGATCTCATTAATAAGGTGGATGAGGACACATCATTATGTTTTTATTTGACAGAAATTGCCATATACCAGAAGCGATGTGTGACATGGAGTATTGTCATGATGGAGGATGATTTACAGCACACTTTAAAACACACCTTCTCTCAACCATAGCTCACACCCAACTGACTGTACCGAGCAAGTTAAATTTGTCACACACTGTTACTAAGGTTCAGCATGCGGCTTCCCATATTGAAGATCCCTGCCTTTCCGTTGGATGGCACTTGGCAGCAGCATTCACCGTATTTTGTAATCACAATGGAAAGGCTTTGTGTCACACATCGCTTTTTGGTACTACAATTTCTATCAAAGAAAAACATTACGGTGTGTCCTCATCTACCTTGTTCACTAGATCTGGCACTGTACAACTTCTGGCTCTTCCCCAAATCAAAATGATTCAGGACATCGAGGCAGCCACGACAGTGCACCTAAAGACACTCAAGAAAGAGGACTTCCAGAACTGCTTCAGAAAGTGGCAAGAATGATAGGATAAGAGTGTTCAAAATGAGGGTGAGTATTTTGAGGGGGATTTATGGCAATGTGTCTTTTACTGTAATAATTTTTTTAATTTAAACATTCACAGTATTTTCTGATCACACTGCGTATGGATGGACATGTCTGTGTGCATGTGTGTATTAAATATATATATTCATATTTTAAAAAGAAACAATGGTTACCTAAAGGGAGACAGATGGAAGAGGGTATTCAGGACAAGGATGGAAACTTCACTTTTTTAATGTACCTTGCTTTATACTTTAATTTGAATCTATATAAATATTTACATAATTAATAACATAATTATATCAAGAAAATAATCCCTAAAAGCAAAAAAATAAAAATAAACCAAGTTGTGCTTTTTTGTTATCATCACGTGCCAATATTTCTAAACAATGTGATAACCTGCTCCACCCGAATAGGGAGACCACACTCTGTACCTGCACCCCCACCCTGCCACCTGCATTATATGTTGCTAGTTACAGCCACTGCACAAATTCTTACCTGAAATCAGTTCAATCACAGGATATGTTTGTTGCAGGAGCCAATCAAGTTACTTTTCTGTATGAATTATTTTGAGTTAGATTTCTGTCACTCCCCATTAAAATAACTTTACATGATGCATTAAACAATAGTGAAGTATAAATGGGGATTAAATATGAATACTGAAAATAATATGAAGGATATTTCATCATTTAAGAGAAAGAGAATATGGGTAGAAAGACAGACTAAATCTAGTCACGGGATAATGGAGACAAGTATGCAAGTGGAAAAATAACAGTTTTTAATCAAACATAGTTTGAAGAGAAGGAGTTGGGTCAGAATTATTGAAAAACGATATAATTGTCATCTTTTTAGAAGCAATGTAATATGTAAAGAGGTTGTAACATTCAATGCAATATTTAACCAGACTTCAACTTGTTAATGATAATAATAGACTTAAAATTGATTTATAGTGTTGGAATTTAGGTGATAGAAATAAATTATATTAAAGATATAAGTTGCAGAGTATAATCAGCAGCATCTTAAAATGTTGGAAGTTTTGGTGATAAAAATAACAGGGCTCTTTTGTAGAGGAGATGGCAATGATTGGGATAAAGTGACAACTAATAAAAGTACAAAAAGTGTATATAACAGAGGAGAGTTCTGGTGCCTTATCTCTGAGCTCATTCTCTCTCTTCTCTCTCTCTCTCTCTCTCTCTCTCTCTCTCTCACACACACACACACACACACACACACACACNCACACACACACACACACACACACACACACACATCCTAGAACTCACTAATCGAAACAGCCACTTAAAATTGAGCAGATCATTTTAAAGTAAGGTTGGCAACTGCATTCAAAAAACAAAGCACAACATAAAAAACAATTACAGAATTTCCATAAAAATCACAGTCATGATACATTCTCTCCCTACTTCACTGCATCCCCAGCCCTGGCTTGCATACAGTTGGCATAACATTGCAGTGAATCTTTTTTCTTGAAAATGTATTCATACAATGTAATCATGGTACACACTCCATTTTTCGGTACTATCCAATATTAACACATTTTTAGAACTACATAGAAGAAATAATAATGAATGAGGCACTCAACAGAAAACTCTCTTGGGATCCAATTTGTATGGTACTGGGGAAAAAGCCCAGAAGGTCTGCAAACAAATGATGGGCAATATCTACAATGTGCAGAATAATACAGGTGGTTTTAAAAAGGAATAGAGTCTATAAAAAAGCTTTTGTGTTTAGAATTCCAAAATCCTAACATAAGGACTTCAAAAAAATAGTTGAAAAGAAACCTCTGCATGGAGGCTATAGCAAATTTTATTTGATAAGAGAAGATTTAGTATATGAAAGCTGTGTCTTCTGAATAGTGAAAATATCACACCGAGGATATTTAATATCTTTCTCCTTTCATGTGACCACTGTAAAAGGCAGGAAAGCTAATTTAGCTGAAAAAAATTGTTTCAGTGTTTCTGGTTCATTTTAATGTGCATCTTTTCTGTAAAACCCTTTATAGTAATAATGATTTTGCTGTCATTTCATAGAAAAATAAGTGGATTCCTTTACATCTTTATAGGCAAAAAAGACAAACTAGAAAAATGATTATAGTATCATTTATGGGTATATAGAAATTATGTCTTTTATGTTTTATAAAAAAGATCTTAAGTAGTTTGGGAAATTATGTTACAAGGCATTCTATGCTGATTTATTATCTTCTAATGCTAATTTCTGCCATTCATGAAAAGCTCCAAAAGATTAAAAATTGGTAATCACTATAGTTTGGTGCCTGCTCTGAAGTTCAAATAGCAAACACATTTTTATATTAATGGAAATGTTGTGAAACTGAGAATTTATGGAATTTATTTGTTAAACTTCAGTATGTACTTATTACCAGTTTTTATATATCTTAAAAATAATAATAAACTCTAAAAAAGAAAGCAACAAAGCATTTTTCTAATACATTCATGAAATTACATATTCTTGGTCTTGCCATTCTGATGGTTTTGTCAACACATGGAGGGCTGTTCAAGGCAATTATACATAAACCAGAATGAAGCTTCTTCTCTACACATGAAATCTGAATAAGAACACATCAGGAAAGCAGTAAGACCATCGTGACTCCAGCGGACTATTGGGAACGGGAATGAATATGTAGGTGTTGGAAGGCAGATTTAGTCAAAAGAAATTGTTGCAATTTTTTTAATTAAAATATATTGGGGTGACAATGGTTAGCAAAATTACATAGGTTTCAGGTGTACAATTCTGTAATACATCATTATATATTGCATTGTGTGTATGAAACTAATTTAAATGTGAAAACAATGTGCTTTTGATGATGGGAATTCACCCTAACCTACCTTCTCAGAGTCCTCCTTTTTTGAAGATCGTACTGGATGAACTCTAACAGTGGCGCGTTATGCAGGGCTGCAAGTCAGGGCCAGAAAATACACCTAAGAGCCATCAGCATTTCCATCATAACCCGTATTATCTGGAGTTTATATGTTGACTATAAAAGTCAGGAAGGATCTAGGCATTGAAACCTTTTTTGGAACAGTGAGATATTTTTAGTCCAGGTATATTGCAAGTGTGGCAAGAACACAGGGTTTTCAGGCCCAAATGTAGCCGTACTTTACACACATTTGAACATGTTAAAATAAACCAGAAATGTCCTGATGACTTCTAAATTTGCAGGACACAAAAGGAGCACATAATTTTAGGCCACTATCCAAACTCTGTAGTCGGATTTTGTCCCAAATCTGTTTTCCATCATGATTATGCAGAGAGCACTGAAAGCATTAGAAAGTTTTTCAGAAACAAACCTAAAAAAAGTTGAGGTTTTATAAACTGCTTGTTTTTGAAATACTGCATTCATGTGAAATAGCTAAAGCTCTCTGCTTTACTTTTGACTTATTTTTTTCTCATTTCTCAAAATTAATATAAGTGTTATTTTTGCAGACTACTTTTCATTTTAATATGTATGCCTCAATAATTTCTACTCTCCTAGCCCCTCAGTCATACAGAATCTGCCCTTCACCTTTATCGTGGCTTCTTCCCTTCCACTCTTCTATACTCACATAATTCCAGTCAGTTTCTTCTTCCCTCCATCCACATCCATGCCTCTGTCGGATATATCCATGGTATTTCTCGAGCTCAATACTTCTCGCTTGGGGTGATTTAGCCCTCTAGGCAACATCTGTCAATGTTTGGAGACATTTTTAGTTGTTACAACTTGGGAGGAGGGCATCTAGTGGTAGAGATCAGGGATGCTGCTAACATCCTACAGTACACAGGACAGCCCCCCACACAAAGAATTATCCAGCCCAAATGTCAACAGTGCTGAGGCCGAGAAAACCCTGCTCCAGCTAGGACTCTGGATTATCAACACAAGGTTTTTTAACCTTCTGCTGAAACCAACTGTTGAACCCTAGGTCACGCCATCTTCAACTTTCTTCAGTGTTTAAGCAGTGCCATAAAATGTGAAATGCTATTTGGTTATTCTACAAATTAGATCAGCTCACATAAAAAACTGGAATGTGAGGCCTATGAAGAAGGTTTTTGTCTGTTTTATTGTTTAGTATCTATTGTTTAATGCTTACCTCATAGTAGGTGTTCAATAAATATTTGCTGAAGCAATGAGAAAAATGTAGGAACATGTTTTCGCTAGGCCATAGAAAACTGTGTTGTCTGTGACTGAACCAAATCATTTCCAGTCCTGGTCCTCACCCCTTTCCTCCAGTCCCTCTCCTCCTGCATTCTTGAAGCCTTCACAAATATTGTGTCTCCTCTCTTATCCTTTCAGTCATTACACTCGGTTCGTGCCATCTTCACCATCTTCAAATATGCTCAAAAATTTTGCTTTTAAGATAAATCCTGCTACCAAACTTTTTTAAAAATAATTTTGTTTATTGCTAAGCATCTTCAATAGTTAGTGGCTCCAATTCCTCAACACATACAGTGTGTCTCCTTTTGCAATCCAGTGCTCATCTAGAATTCCATAATGACTATCTAAATGCTAATTGAGAAAAAGCCATTTTCTTTTCAGTCCCTTTGACCTTGCTAAAGCATTTGATATGATTTTTTTTATCTCTTTCATGAATTCCTTCCCCTAATTTCTATGAGAGTGCAAATTCTGTCTTGTCACCTTTATCCTTAAATACCTCTTCTTATCTTTTTTAGTGGGAACTCCTCCTCTGTTCTCCTCAATTGATTGTTTTCAAAGGTTCTGTTGCTGTCTGAGGTTTTTCGCTCTTTAAGCTTTTCCTCTTGGTCCTCTCATTCACTCCTCTATGAATAATTAACAAATTTTTACTCCCAAGCTTTTATTCTACTTTATAATCACTGCCTTAGCACATCTACTATTACTTCTAACACAACATCCATAAGCAGAAATAACTATTTTTCTGTCCCATGACTTGGCTCCTCCTGCTCTGTAGCCCCCAAACAGTTCTATCTAAGGGAAGAGCTGACATAAGCAACCTTCTTTCCCTATGCTCCATCAAGTCACACACTGCATAGCAATGTTATGGTCAACAACAGAGCACATGCACATTTGTGCTATAACATATGGCCTAGGTGTACATAGGCTATACCATCTAGGCTTGTGTGAATACACTCTATGATGTTCATATGATGAAATCGCCTAAGGACACATTTCTCAAAACATATCCCCCTCATTAAGTGGGGCATGATGGTACTTAAATCATCTCTGCCATTTTGTCAAGTTATTACTTAAAGATCCTGGAGCTTATCTCTTCCATCTAAATGCAATTCTGTAAAACTAGTAATCCCAATGACTGTTCTCATGAATAAGACCACATTTCAAAATAATATTGTCTGCTAAAGAAAATGAGTGTTCCGTAATGGTCATTGGCAACACTTATTATGTATGTGCTTTTACAGATTAACTTGTTTAACACAAAAAATCATATGCGTTAAACACTATTATTACACACATTTTACAGGTAAGGAAACCAAGGCAAAGGGAGTTAAGTAATTCATCTAATGTTACACTGCTAGGAAATAGCAGAGGCAGGATTTGAACAGGATTTAAAGGCAGTTTGGCTCAGGAATGCATGCTTTTAACCACTATGTTCTATTGCTTCCTAAAGGCAGGACACATGTAATATTGGTGGCCAATGATTGGTTGGACACTATAGAACAAAGAGCCATACGATTTTAAAGATGAGTGTAGTGAATTGAATAGTTGCCCCCCAAAATATCTATCCCATCCTAACCCTGAGAACCTATGAAGATGACAATATTTGGGAAAAGGGCAATTATAGATGTAACTAAGGATCTCAAGATTGTTCTGGATTTAAGATAAACCCCAAATTCAATGATAAGTGTCTTTATCAGAAGAGCAGAACACACAACCACAGAGAAGGTGATGAGAAGATGGAGGCAGAGATTGGAGTAATGCATCTATAAGACAATGAACACCGAGGACTGCCAGCCACCACCAAAAGCTAGGAGAGTGGTATGAATCACATTCTCTCTCAGAGCCTCTAGTGGAACCAACCTTGCCAACACCTTGATTTTGGATTTCTGTCCTCCTGAGCAGTGAGAGAATACATTTGTGCTGTTTTAAGCCATCAGGTCTATGGTTACCTATTAGGACAGCCCTAGAAAACTAATACAATGGGAGAGAGTCTTGTGAGCTGGAGCAAGACGTAGAGTAATAAAACTTGTAGAGCAGTGGAGATCTCTTAATAAAATTTATCTCACCAGGGCCGGCCGAGTGGTGTGATGGTTAAGAGCTGGCTTGGGAAGCCAAAGGGCCCCAGTTCGGATCCCACATATGAGGGCCAGTGACATTTTCCTCCACAGCTAAGATGCTGAACAACAGCTCAACCTGGAGCTGGGCTGCCGTGAGTTGCCAGCCACGGTGTATGCTGCAGCCCCTGTGGCAGTGGGTTGCCATGGGTTACTGTGTGTAGCCAGCAGCCAGCGTGAGTGGCCAGCAGCCGCAGTGAGTGGCCGTCCAGAAGCCAGCGACTGATCTACCTCGCCCGGGAAGAGTGCAATGATGGTGCCAACTTGGGCCAGTGAAGCA